CAAACAATTACGATAACTCACGCCACAATTGTAAGTTAATCACACACAGAATACTAGTGCGATAATAATAGAGAAGATAATTCAGCCTGTCAACTGAAATTCTAAAGCAACTGAATAGGCCTAAGTGGACTTTTGACAAGAAGAAGAGAACTATATATGTAGGGTTTATGATATGTTAAATTCTCTATAGTGTGAAGAATTTGTTGTACATACGTTTAATTTGTTCAGAATATATATATATATTATTTTGAAAACAAGTGAAGTGTGTGCTGTTCATTTATTGTTGAATTTATCATCACCAAGTCACAGACACCTACTGTAGAAGAATCTTAAGCCCAACAACAACATAGTATATATTTATACTATTAAGAAGTATAAGTAAAAGCCTTTTACTTTGACAATTGGTAAAAATAATTATATTTCAAATTCTGACAAAGACTGCTTGGTTTTCTCCAGTAGTGACTGTATGAAAAAAGAAAAGAAGGATAGTAAATCACAGTTCTGTGTGGATTAGATAAGTGAATGTAGTAGTATTCACTGATATTTTTCTTCTAAAGTGTACAGATGAATCTGTGAATGTGCTGGATAGTTCTCATTTGTTCAACATATTGGATCTGGTGTTTGTATACTGGAAGGTTGAAATGTGTCAAGAAATCTTTCAGTATTTCAGGTGGCTTGTAAGAATTTTTCTGAGTAATGAATCTGTCATTCTCAAGTGGCTGGTGAAATTTACACTAAGATGTTTGGAAAAGAGAGATGCCTAATGTATGAAGAATACATCTTTGTTTCAGAAGCAAGTTTCAGTGTGAAGCTATAAACCTGGGCATAGTTATTCAGTGTATGAGGAAGGCAAGTTTGAAACTGAAGCCATGAAGACATGCAGTAGAAATTTTTGATCAAATTGTGCGTAAGGAAGGAGTATATACAGATTTCACAAAAAATCACAGTTGCAAAATAATGGCCACAACTATTGATGAAATGAGAAATTTGCAGCTTCACTAGTTTCATATTGTTCTGTGAGCATGTTGTAGCCAACTTCTTTAAGATAGTTGCATTTTTATTTACACTGTCTAAAGATGAAACATGTTTTAGGCAGGCTGAAGGCTATGATCAAACATTTTAGTCACTAAAGTTTACTTTATGTTTGTTAACTTATCTGAGGTAATACTGTCCATTCACTGTCACTACCTATGTGGTAATTCAACATTTGAGGAATAATACCTACTGAAAAGTATGATGGATTTATTATTATATTCATTTTAATATTGATGTTTGTTTAAATTAAATGTATATATAGAAATGTACATAACTTACACTGTTAAATATGTATTGCGAAACTCCCGTCTATTGTCTAAAGTTATAGAAGATTCTCGAGTGTAAGAATCAACAGTATTTGTGTGTATGTAAATGCTACCCAAAGCACGTGAAACACTTCTGAATCTTCTCTGATTGGACCAAGTCCCAGGAGTGTTTCAACCAGTACCTTGTGTCGAGTATGTTGACTTGACTGGCAAGATTGCTGGCATTCTATGCATCAGACATCTTCAGAAGTATGCAACAGACAAGTTTCTTGTGATAAGTTGATTTTCAGAGTTTTTATGATCCCACTATCACATGGTTACAAATATGAGGTGTTTAGTAGTAGGAATATTTTAAAGTAGTTGATAATAGTAACTACTATCAACTACTATTAAATTTCAAAAACAGTACAATAGAAACATTATACCAAACTGTTAAATATTATTATAACAAAAATTAATTTTCAATTTAACAAGTGCACACGTTAATGAACCTTGTCATTGTTTAAAAAATTGTTCTTACAGGATAATGAAAAATATTACTGCATCATGAGAAGATCTTGACAAATTTCCTACAATTACTTGAACTTGATTGCCATCTCAAATGTTCTTTCACCATGTTAATATCACATTTTTCCAACACATGAGGAGTCCTCTGTTATTTTTAATGAAGATGATATTTATGAACTAGTATTATTTTATAACCTCACTGCTATTTCACTGCAAGGACTGCTATTTCTTCCATTTCTGCTAATCTGGAAAAGTGTTTTCTTGCCAGATTCTCATCAATATGTTTAACAGTGGTGCTAATACTGTATGTTAACCTGAGGTACAAATATCATGCTAGGAAAAACTCCAACAGAGGTTTGTAGGTCATCCTTCACATTGATTCTCTTATGTAGTCCGAGAAAGGTAATTAGTAGGCCAAATCTTATCCAGTGGTTGATACGTTAATGCAGTCCATAGCTAATGTGTTGGCTGCATTATTGATATTATGATTTGGATTACTAGGAGAAATCCACATGGACTGAGGAACTGATTTTAACAGCTAGTGTAAGGTTTTGGTGTGTTGAAGAAGCACATTTTGCCATATTGTCACCCACAGTCTGATGGTTTGGAGAATGGGTAATATGCAGAATATCAAGTATATTTTTGCAAAATTTGTTAATTATGATGGAACTGAGTAAGATAAAAAACCTGCCATGTATCATGAAACGGAGCCAAATTCATTTGGTTATTCATCAGTCTTATTGATGGCTGAGAGTACAGCTTTCAATAGATGTGATGTATGGTTTGCTTCCTATTGCAGACAAGACACAGCATCTTCTAGAATATGTAAAGAGATTGAAATGTGCAGTATCTGATGTGCATGAATTCTCATGACAGTAGTTGGGTAAGGCTGCCATTCAACAAAATATGTCGCAAAAAAGACAGTGAAGGAATTAGAGTTAAAGCTTAAAAGCTAGGAATGGCTTTGGTGTGTTCCTAGTGCACAGGAGCAACTAGGTTTTAGTTGGACTGATTATATTTTTCTCAGACAGCTCAATCCTTACATCTGTGATGGTGTTGCATACAAAAGCCTATTGAAAATATGGACAATCTAAAACTATATGTTTCTTTCAACTTCTAGTTTACTGATTGGACCAAAAAAATCAAGGTTGAGATAACTGATGGAAACCCCAGTGAAAGAGAGGCTTGACTGCTGTGATGTTGGCCAAGATACCAATGTATGCTCTTATTCATCATAGCTGGGATTAACTGCTTCACCAGTAATTAGGATGGCTAAATGAGTGAAAGTGATGTTCCTTCTTTTCTAATTATTGAGTAGTGATTCACAGTTGATTGTCTACATGTCATTGTGTGATGATTGATTAATTACTGTGTAGTTAGGATGTTTAATTAATTGATAATTCAACAGCTGAAAGGATGGGACATTCTTTGCTGTTTGAGTTATCAAATGATTATATTTGTTAATACCATTTTGATTACAGAAAAACTAAGACAGCTGATATTATTAAGTATAATGTTTAGAACATTGACATTTGAAGTGCAGGAAATGATTACCAGGAATTATACCTGTAAGCTGGAAAGACTTTGTGATCCTTCTTTTCACATCACTCGTGTTGAATTTTGTGGTGAATATTGACAGTATGTTGATTTTAGAAATTACCTTAGCAGATTTGTGTGTGCAAGTGTGAACTTAAATAGCATGTAAATACAAGGTTATGCCTTTGAATATGAATGACTTGTACATGATGTACAGTAAAAGGGTTGGATGCTTGATCAACACATATGAAATACAGTAGTCCCTCTTCGATATGACCATCTGCCATCATAAAAAAAAAAGGTCATATCTAACAGGAAGTTGTTATTCAAAGGATCATTAACCAGATAATGAACGAACGATCTCAAGCTGTGGTAGTCGCTATTGCCAAGGCTTGAGCATGATGGTTTATATACTGTGTAGGTAATCAGATCATGTAGCAAATTTATTTAATGATAGTCATGATGGATAACAGTTCAGTCAAGATAACTTAAAATTGTTTTGATTGTGTATTATTTAAAATAATTTATTCATCGATTACATTTATTTCTCAAAACGCCGCATCTCTATTTCATAAAACATATATGTATCTCATTTTTATTTCATACATGACAAAATGACACCAAATTTACTTCATAAAAAAGTCTTCCATCTGTGTTTGGTTTGCACATTTAACAGAGTCACTTTGAATGTTCATTAGTCCGGCAGATATGATATCTAGAAGTGTTTTGTTGTTGTTTTCAGTGAGTGGTCTCAAATCTCATCAAAATATCCAAATGCTGTTTCTGACGAGATCACTGCTTTGGGTTCCTCTTTGTCATCTTCAGTTGTTGAGTTGGAGTTTTCAGTTTTGTTTTTAATGCATCTGCCCAGTCTTCATCCAAAACTGCAACTACTATTAAATTTCAAAAACAGTACAATAGAAACATTATACCAAACTGTTAAATCTTATTATAGCAAAAAATTAATTTTATTTTTAACAAGTGCACATGTTAATGAACCTTGTCATTGTTTAAAAAATTGTTCTTACAGGATAATGAAAAATATTACTGCATCATGAGAAGATCTTGACAAATTTCCTATAATTACTTGAACTTGATTGTAATCTCAAATGTTCTTTCGCCATGTTAATATCACATTTTTCCAACACATGAGGAGTCCTCTGTTATTTCTAATGAAGATGATATTTATGAAATAGTATTATTTATAAGCTCTCATGCTGTGCTACATTCAGTGTGAATATATGAGAGGCCTTCTGCACCCCATAACATAATAGCCCATTCCCTTGGACATTAATTTTACAGTTTGCTTCTACAGCTGTTAAAATGGACTTAATTGTAAGGTATTCTTGACCAATGCTGCTTGGATGTGTCTACAGCCAAAATTATGCATAAAGTCCTACTGATTGGGTAGTGACTTTTTGGTGTATTGTATAATATATATTAAAAAGAATTAGGTAAGCATTAAGATAACATAAGAAACTTGAAATGAATGGAGAAAGGTGATTATACATGGAAGACAATTACATAAGTAAATAGGGCAGTGTTTATATTAATGTTTAACAATAAACTGTACGTGTAACTGATAGTAGGTTTAAATATTTATACTTTGTAACAAAAAATTAATAATATACTGAATAGAAACATTTTGTTTTTCAGAATGATGTTGTCATAACAGTCAATGACATCAAGGTGACTGACTCTGAACATACTGTTAGAGTGTTCAAACAAGTTGGTGAAAGGCAAGTTATTAAAATGTTATGTACCAAATAATTCATATTTTGTACCGATAAGGAAAAAAGAATGATGCTTTCAATATGCTTGAAATTATTTAACCTTCTCTCGCTATGGTCATTCTTTTCTGGGTATGTCATAAGGTTTTTCTGAGTTACATTCAGAATTTAAACTACTTTCTTGTCATAGTACACAAATAAACTTAGCATAAAAACATAGGTAATAATCTAAATTTTAACATTATATATGTTTTAAATTCTATAAGGCAATATTAGAAAAAAAATCCTGAATTTCCTGTAGTATGGGAATTGTTGTATCTGCTCTCTAGGCATCCCCTTTTTTTCAAATTTATTTGCCACCCCTCCAAGAAGTACAAAATTTAATGTAAATTACTTTTTATAATATTGTCATCACTCAGGCAAAGCATAATTTTTATAGCCTTCAATCTTATTTGGTTAGAGACCCACCAAATAAAAAATCAGACCTCTCTTGCCACTCCCATCTGTCAAATCCTCTCTTTCAGAAATTTCCAATAGTTCTCTCTTTCATTTAATACTATAAACCAATAGAAAGCCAAAGTTTAATCTATCAAATGATATATTGTTTTCTGTACAGAGAATTGTTTATTTCCCTTAAAAACTTTATTCCCATAGGATACCCATCAACAAGCTTAGCTGAATATCTAATTGCTCTTGTTGCATAGTTAGAAAGCCAGAAAGATTGTGAGAGTTATAGGACATTGTCTTCTTTGAGCGTATCATTATTCTGTGTTCTTTGGTGCATTATTTAGTGCAGTAGTATCATTAGTATAAAAAAGTAGACTTTAGTTTCATCAACATACCAGGTAAGTACTATATTTTTTGTTTTCATGTGTATTCTTTATTTATCATTATAAAAGTAACTAAAATGTAGGTTAGATTAGGTAAAATAAAGAATAATAATACTAATAAATATGTTTCATGAGGAACATTTGCAAGTAACTTGCAAGTAGCCATACATTGTGTAATTTGATAAGGTAATGTGCACTCCATGTTTGCCAAGTGATTTACAAGTTGTGTGGCAGGAATATTAGTTAGACATGGTTCAGAGAGCAATATAATAATAAAATGTATGTAGAAACAGATGTCTACTGTTACAAGTTTAAAGCTATTTAGGATAAGTAAATGTTTCATGTTACAATTTGAAGTCATTTTAGAAAGAAAAAGGGTAATTCAGATTTACCTCAAAATTTTTAAAGTGATTACGAGGTGTGCCATTAACCAATCTTGTATAAAATACATAAAATATAAAGTTTTACTGAAAAAAATTAAATTTATTTAGGAGGTTTTAGAGATTATCTAAATGAAATTTGAGGTTTTTTCAGATGAAATTTATTTTTTAATCTTAACATAAAATCACTTTGAGCAGTCAACACTTTGACTCCATATATTCACAGAGAAAGTTTTAGTGAAAATACTTCATTAAAAATTCTGATTTTTTTTTCTACAGATGACTCTTAATGTTTACTGAAACCTTGCAAAATTACATGAAATATATTAGAAGTTATAGTATGGAAACTCTAAAAATCAATTTGGGGTCAATTATTAGGTTGAATTGACTGAGCCCATTAGTGAGAGAGGTAGCATAATAATAGTATTATATTAATGAAGCCTTAAATTTATTTTGTGATAAATATGGCATGCAAGCTATATATGCTATGAGGTATCTTCATAGAATATTTTCCATTAATTCTCTAATATTTTAAGATGTCAACTAATATATTATTTTTATTAAGTTTAAATTACAGGCTTTAATTAACTTGTTTAAAAATTTATATTTTCTTTCTTAATATATATATATATATAACATTTTAAAATTCCTTGGCAGGTGTGTAATGTTCATTGTTAAAAATCTCACAATGTTTTGGATCGTGTATCAGTTTTCACCAAAGTAAAAGTATGCATTGAAAACTTGTTTCCAAATTAACAGCAAAGTTTATAAACAGAATGAAGGTTTTAGCTATGGCTTCTCCTCTATCTCTGTTATTATATGATTTATTTATGGGCAGTTTTAAAGTGAAGTGTGAGAAAAGATGGATAAAAAACCTGAAGTTTGGTTAAGGTTTGTCGCTGACACATTTTTGATTTGGCAGCATGCTAAAGACGATCTAGCTAATTTTTCTAATTACCTTAATAACATTGATAATTCTTTAAGATTTAATTATGAAGTTGAAACACATGTTTGTTTACCTTTTTTTTGATGTTTTAGTGAGTAAAAATAAGGATAAATTGGAAACTACCATTTATTGTAAACCTTTCTTTGTAGTCATTCCACACATCAACGATCTTGTCACACTAAATCTCAGAAAACTACTATTTTTTACTCTTATGTGACTAGGATACTAAAATTATGTTTTAAACAGGATGATTATCAATTATGAGTTATTATTAATTAAGCACATAGTAGAAAAAGGTTTTAATCCAGATGTTGTTGACAGAGCTGTCAAAAAACTAAAAAACAGGGATAAAAATATTAAATTAAACCCATTTGCTGATAAAAGTAAAAAAAGAATTTTTGGTACTATCATTTATACCTGGCTTATCTTCTCAAATAATGAAAAAAATTAAAAAGCAAATAATATTTTGTGATAAACAAAAGTTAGCCAAATTCTTAATACAACTGAAAGTCTGCCAAATTTTGTGAAAATATACATGCTATATTAAAAATTTGTAGTAACAAAAGTATAAAGATTTTAAACAAGTACATAGAGGTCACATGGTTGATCAAATCGACTGAGCCCATGTTGAGAGAGTTAAGTAGAAAACATTTTTATTTCACCTTACAGTTTTAAAATTTAGAAGCCCCTAAATGAACATGAAAAGTTTTTCAAGGTAAATGTTTATATTTTATTTTTCATTTTCTCTGCCATATCACTAACTGTAGCTCTTATAATCACTGTTAATTACAATGAATTGTTTAAAATTAAGAAATGGAAATATGTACATACCTTTTAACTCTCTGCTGAATAATCTTAAAATATTTTATTTAGGTTATTGTCATTATTTCATCTCTCTACCTTTTCACTCATAGTTTATGTATAATGTTTTATTTTCCCTTTCTGTTCTTTACTGTTTATTATTCATCTTGATACACGTCAACAGTTCCCCCCCCCAGGTGATATAATGTTATAATTAGCAGAGATACTTTAGCCTTAGGGTTATAAACATGTATGTCAAATAAGTATATGTGTCTTGTAAATCTCAAGTCCAAGTATGGAAGGTGAGTGTGGCTGCTGTCAAGGGGTTGGAATATTTATTTTTTCATGTTCTTCTGAATTGACCCAAATTGTTACGTATGAGATATCATTGACTATTTGATGTTGTGTAATGACACCATTGTATTTAACATACTCATATGGTTGGTGCACATTAATATCAAATATAAGGTATGTAGTTTGCTCTGCCATGAATGTGTTTGTTGTTATTGTTCTTACCTCCAATGTATTTGTTGCTGTTTAGACAAGAACATAGCAATTGGCAATGAGAATTACAGAAAGAACTCAAATGTAAATATAATATGGAACATTCCTATGTGTGTATTGGGCAAAAAATAACTGAAGAACTGTTGTTATTGAGTTGCACAAGACACTGTTTTGATTGCCTGATCCTAGATTGTGATGTTCTACGTGTTTTTTGGCTTGTGGAATGGCACTACATAAGGCTTTTGCAGTGGAAGCTGCTCACAAAGATGCTACTGAGCTGCAAGGTAATCATTTTGATGTACACAAAATAAAAAAGTAAGATGACAAAATCCAAGAATTACAAGGGAACACAAAAGAAGTCAGGAAAAGACACCCAGAAAATATGAGGAAAAATGTTTTGGATGCACAAGAAAGGGACATGTCCTGAAAAAGAAAAAAAAACTGTTTTGAGCATGGAAAAACTGGACATCCACTTAAGCATGTAAGGAAAACAAACCAATGGATAGGGTACATGCTTTGAAGGAAAGTGATTCCAATGACAGTGATGATGACTTCATAGCATTGCTAAGCATAAAAACTTTGAACAAGTCCAGTCAAGGGATTATCTCTATAACTGCAAAAATAAGTGGGGTTTCCTTAGATTTGGAGCTTGATACAGATGCTGTGATGTCAGTGATTACTGAGAAAATTTTTTGAAAGAAGTTTACAGAGGAACTCCATAAGTTAAGGAAATCTGATCTATGTTTAAGGGCTTATATGTAGTTCAAAAGAGTGGCTTAACACTGTTTGGTTGTGACTGTTATGCCATATTACTCTTGATTGGCCTAAAATTAAAGCAGTTTCAATGGATAGGGAAACAGCTTTATTTAAGTCAAAATTGTACACCATTCTAGTGAAACATAGGTCAGAATTTCAAGATGACCTTGGAACTTAAAGGGTATGAAGGCTAAACTTACCTTGAAACCAGATGCCAAAGTTTTATAAGGCATATTTGTTCCTTATGCAATAAAACCAGCTGTTGATGCTGAAATAGAGACTAGTCAAAAATGGAATCCTGACTGAATGCGAATACAGTGAATGGGTAACACCTGTTGTTCCAGTGTTAAAGAAGGACGAACCTGTTCATTTATGTGGGAACTTTAAAGTCACTGTCAATTGATTAATATCCCTTACTCAAAATATAGGATATGTTTGCAACATTAGCAGGAGGAAAGAGACTTATGAAGATAGATTTGAAGAGTGCATATTCACAAATAGAGTACAAGATGATTCTAAACACTTGCTTACAATTAACACTGAAAAGGGCTTATATCAGTACAATACAATTAGCTGATTTTTGGCATCGACTATATGGCAAAGGTCAATGGATACAATTCTAAAAAGACGAAAAGAAGTTCAGTGCATCATTGACTACATGATCATTATGGGAAAACTGAAGAAGGGCTCTTACAAAATCTTGAAAAAGTGATAGATAGACTTAGTATGCACAACATAAGAGGTAATTTCTCAAAATGTGAATTATTTTAAGAGAGAATATAATTTTGTGGG